AGGCCGAGGCTGAAGGCAGACTGAGGCTGAGGCTGAAGCAGGCTGAGGCTGAGGCTGAGGCAGGCTGAGGCTGAGGCTGAGGCAGGCAGGCTGAGGCTGAGGCTGAGGCTGATGCAGGCTGAGGCTGAGGCAGGCTGAGGCTGAGGCCGAGGCTGAAGGCAGACTGAGGCTGAGGCTGAAGCAGGCTGAGGCTGAGGCTGAGGCAGGCTGAGGCTGAGGCTGAGGCAGGCTGATGCTGAGGCAGGCTGAGGCTGAGGCTGAGGCTGATGCAGGCTGAGGCTGAGGCAGGCTGAGGCTGAGGCCGAGGCTGAAGGCAGACTGAGGCTGAGGCTGAAGCAGGCTGAGGCTGAGGCTGAGGCAGGCTGAGGCTGAGGCTGAGGCAGGCTGATGCTGAGGCAGGCTGAGGCTGAGGCTGAGGCTGATGCAGGCTGAGGCTGAGGCAGGCTGAGGCTGAGGCCGAGGCTGAAGGCAGACTGAGGCTGAGGCTGAAGCAGGCTGAGGCTGAGGCTGAGGCAGGCTGAGGCTGAGGCTGAGGCAGGCTGATGCTGAGGCAGGCTGAGGCTGAGGCTGAGGCTGATGCAGGCTGAGGCTGAGGCAGGCTGAGGCTGAGGCCGAGGCTGAAGGCAGACTGAGGCTGAGGCTGAAGCAGGCTGAGGCTGAGGCTGAGGCAGGCTGAGGCTGAGGCTGAGGCTGAGGCTGAGGGCTGAGGCTGAGGCTGAGGCAGGCTGAGGCTGAGGCTGAGGCAGGCTGAGCTGAGGGCTGAGGCTGAGGCTGAGGCTGAGGCTGAGGCAGGCCGAGGCTGAAGGCAGACTGAGCTGAGGCTGAAGCAGGCTGAGGCTGAGGCTGAGGCAGGCTGAGGCTGAGGCTGAGGCAGGCTGATGCTGAGGCAGGCTGAGGCTGAGGCTGAGGCTGAGGCTGAGGCTGAGGCTGAAGGCTGAGGCTGAGGCTGAAGGCTGAGCTGAGGCCTGGCTGAGGCTGAGGCAGGCTGAGGCTGAGGCTGAGGCTGAGGCTGAGGCGAGGCTGCCTGTTGCCACTGCGACTGTCATCGCGAATGCGACTACGACTGCGAGAACAGCAGAATTCTACAACTGGATTCTCATCCGAATCTTAAGGGGAATGCTTCCAGATATGCTCCTACACATCGCTGTTAGGTTGCTTTGCCGGGATAATGTGTCCCAGGGCCCCTTCATCAATGTTGGGGTAAATCAATTCTGTAGTCAATCCCGTCCTCGAAGCCTGGTGAGGCGCTGGTTGGCTTCCCCGGCCCTCCGGGGCTCGCCCGCCGCTTCCCCTCGGGGCTCAAGGGACGGGGGTCCATGCAGGCGGCTGCTCCTCCTCCTCCTCCTCCTCCTCCTCCTCCTCCTCCTCCTCCTCCTCCTCCTCCTCCTCCTCCTCCTCCTCCTCCCCCTCCTCCTCCTCCTCCCCCTCCTCCCCCTCCTCCCTCCTCCTCCTCCTCCTCCTTCCTCCTCCCTCCTCCTCCTCCTCCTCCTCCTCCTCCTCCTTCCTCCTCCTCCCCCTCCTCCCCCTCCTCCTCCTCCTCCTCCCCCTCCTCCTCCTCCTCCTCCTCCTCCTCCTCCTCCTCCTCCTCCTCCTCCTCCTCGTGCTCAGGCCACTTCGAAAACCGCCCGCCCTGCACTGACCCCGGGCCTGCGTGCAGGATCTTGCGGGGTCTTGCAGGGTCCTGCAGCCTGACTGACCCGGGTCTGGATGGACCCGGGTCAGCAGATGCCGCAGGCCTCGAGATTGACACCAACACCAATATCGGCGGCGTGCCTCCACCGAGGGATGAAGATTCCGGTCTCGGTGATGGTGGTCATATTTTGGCTTCCGAGGTGGCCGACATGTTGCCACCGACACCGAAATCTAGGATCATCCTCCCCCCTGTGGAGGCAACCCCCTGTGCTGGTGTTGGTGCCAATTTCCAGGCCTCCACAGATTACGTTGCATCTTTGGGGGGCCTCGCTTGTCCCCCAAACTTGTACCTTTCCTTGCGCCCGACGCGGGCTCGACGCGGATTCGACGCGGATTCGGCGTGGATTTGGCGCGGATTCGACACGGATTCGACACGGATCCGACGGGCCCGACACGGATTCGACACGGATGCGACGCGGCTAGGGCCGCGCCGGGACAGACAAAGGTCCCCCGAGGATGCAACATACTTAACACAGAGCCCTGATCCCCGGCGCGCTCTCGCACGGCTCGCTTGCGGCCAGCTCGCCCCCGGGGGTGCCTCTCCGCGGGGCCGCGGCCCGCTCCTTGCGGCGCCTGGCTCCTCGGCGCCCGGTCCGCCGGGCCCTGCGCCGACGGGCCGCCCTCCCGCCTCCGCGCCGCCTCGGGGCGAGTCTGGGCGCGCCGACGGGCGCGAGGGCGGGGCCTCCGTGGCTCCCCCTCCTCTCTCCACAGCTCCGTCTCGCGCGCCCGCCCCCTCTCCGCGGTGTGCCCTGGCCAAGGAGATGGGTGTCATGGCGCGGGCCATGATTTTTCCCCAGATTTCATGGCGCCTCTTCTCATTTCATTACGTCCCAGGCCCCCCCGCTGGGCCGCGCGCATGCGTCCGGTCATGATTTGCACCCCCCTTCTTGGACACCCCCCTCTTGGCCGCTCCCGAGGGTGGGGCGGAGAGCGCCACATGTCCATGAGTCCTTGCGAGGATCATGTTCCGAATGGCGATGTAGCGGCTATTGGCGCCCTGGAGGTCCATCCTGGCCAACGGGGCGCTCAACATGCTGCTGGACAGACGATCGCGCCACCAGTCTCTGCGGCGATTGGTCGCCATCAAGAGATCGCGTGCAGTGGCAGGGGCTGTGACGTGGCTCGTGCGGGTGGCCCGGTCGCTGCTGGGTGCGCCTGCCCTCCTTGGTCCTCTTCCCTCCCTCATCGTCTCCCCTCCTTTCCCCCTTCCTCCGCCCCACTTCTTGTCGCCCCCACTCCCTCGGCCGCCGTGGCTGCCTCGGTGCTCTTCGACAAGACCTGTCCATGGGTCGCGTCTGGCTGCGTCGCCGCTGACGGTGCTCCTCGACAACGCCTGGTCCCTGTGTTGCGCCCGGTTTGCATCGCCGCTGCCCGCCCGGACATCCGTCCGGCTCGGCAGGTCCCTCCCGTCGGCATGCTCCTCCTCCTCGTCCTCCTTCTCCTTTTCCTCCTCTTCCTCCTTCTCCTCCTCCTCCTCCTCCTATGTTGCCCGAGGTTCACTTGTTGGAGGCTCGCCTCGCGGTCATGCCTGGCCGCCCCCCATTCGACAGCAAGCACTTCGCGCGCCACTCCAACCTCACACCGGCCTCCGGTGCGTGAAGCCACCTGCGCGCGCCCCTCTCCGTCGCATTTTTTCGAGGGCCAGGCCTGCCCCCCTCCGCTGCCGCCGCCGTTTTCTGCTTGTCATTCCATTCCGCCCTAGAGCGCCCAGCGCCTGGCGAGGGTTTCCAGCTCTGCCCAGTCGCGCTCGCCGACCAACAGAAATGTTTCACCATTGCTTTTCCCAGACCCCTAGGTCATCGGACCAGGATGGACCCCAAAGAGATATTAGCCTGGGTTTATAATGTTCCAGGAATATATTACCGGGTTTCACAACATTCCCCTTGGAACATTGTAAACGTGGATTAATAACGTTCGGGGAATATTAACTGGGGTTTATAATGTTCTTTTCGAACATTGTGATCTTCGGTCTAAAACGATTTCGGGGTCCCAGTTCCGGAACCCCAAGACAATGAATTGTTTTATTGTATAGGAGTGATAGTAATAAGTACTCCCCCCCAGCCCTTCGTCAGCAAGGTGAGAATTATAATGTTCGGGTATCGGCCCTGGTTTATCACTTTCGGGACATTGTAAATTTGGGTGTATTTGTCCGGAATGATAGCAATCGAGCCGGTCGGGGGTCGACTTGGTTTACTACTTCCTACAGGGGTATTACAAGCTGGGGTTTATTATTCCAGAGTTAGAGAGTAATCGAGCGGGGGGGGGTCGATTGGGTTACCATTTGTTTTTTGTCCCCCCCACTTCCCCCCAGCCCAGGCGCCTAATGGGGGGAACCTCAGACGCGGTTTCTTATTCTGGAATAGCGAACCTGGTTTTCAATCTGGGAAATAATAATGCAGTTGGGGGAGGTGGCCGACAATTCAGCCATAAGATAACGCGTCGAGGTTCATCATCTCAACAATGAACCTCGGTTTGTTATTTTTAAATAAGCAACCATGGTCAGCGAAGATTTCGCATCCACCCTCTTTTCGGACCGAGGGCATCTCCTGATTGCTTACTCCTCCTCCCCCTCCTCTACCTTGTTGCTGTTGGGGGGCCGCCGGTACCTCAGTTGGCCTTCCGAACCGGTGAGGCCCTCCTTTGGTGGCCCCAGATGCAGCCAGCGCCGATCCCGGTTTTCTTGTGTGTGTGTGTGTGTGTGTGTGTGTGTGTGTGTGCGTGTGCGTGTGCGTGTGCGTGTGCGTGTGCGTGTGCGTGTGCGTGTGCGTGCGTGCGTGCGTGCGTGCGTGCGTGCGTGCGTGTGTGTGTGTGTGTGTGTGTGTGTGTGTGTGTGTGGGGTTGTCTTGTTTTTTCCCCACCGCCAAAGAGTTTCCTAGAGGTCTCCAGAGAAGTCTCTGCTCCAGGCCCCAGACGGTCCCCAGAGGTTTCTGGGAGGTATCCGGAGGTCTCCGCAGCGCCGAGCATGTGGGACGCGCTCCAGACAGTCCGCTTGTTTATCTTCCGCGGCGCCCAGGGGGGGAAGGTAGAGTGGGAGGGCTTCTTACGAAGGCTTATAAGGCCTCCGGCCTCATGAGAAGCTGTTTAAACGTTTTCCGAACATAGATACGGCCTCTCAGAATGCCTGAGGGTTTCTGAAAAGCCCCGCCGCTTTGTGAGAAGGCATGCCCCTTTCAACTGCCCCCCTCGGCGTGCCGCCGGGTTCTGGCTAGAAGCGGGCGAGAAACGTGAAACAACTTCAAGATCGCTGGCCGTTTCTTGGCCTCTCGGCCTTTGAAAGGGTGGTCAGCGGGTCGCGGGGGGGCGGCGAGGTGCTTTTCCTGCCGATCAGCCTGGGGGGCACCAGCGTGCTGGTGCCGGCTGTCGTCGACGAGCGTGACGGCGTCTCCAAGAAGTCGCCCCAGGTGCGCTTCTCGGCATTATGGGCGATGATGATGCCTATGATTGCAAATGCAGTACCCCTGGCCATGCCAACCTGAAGCCAAGAGGAGGAGGATGAGGATGAGGATCAGGATGAGGAGGAGGAAGAGGAGGAAGAGGAGGAGGAAGAGGAGGAGGAGGAGGAGGACGAGGAGGAGGAGGAGGAGTGGCGTGCATGCCTCTCTGGCCAAGTCAAGAGGACATTACACGCCGCTCGCGGGCCCAGGACGGGCCTGGCCAGCGGCAGTGGATGTGTGCAGAGACCTCGTCGCCCTCTTTCTCAGACCCCTCTTTTTTTGTTTTTGGTTTTTTCCAGATACATTTTTCAAACATTGTTTTATACAATTCATGTTTTATCGATGAAAACAAACACTGCCGACCCCCAGAGTTCCTGGCCCCTGCCTCGGGGCCCGTCCTTCATCCCGGCTCGTTCTGTTGACATTCCTGGGGCCTGGCGAGGGCCCCCAGAAATAGCAAATAACACATAATTTTCCGTCGTCAATTTTTCACGACGCGAGCGGGTCGGTCCTGAGTTTAAGCGGCCCTGAATCTTTACACATGTAAGGGGGGACGGGCTGGGGGCGCTCGGTCCGGTAGGTCTGACATATGGTATTTGCTCTTAGGTACTCTGACCCCTCCGCTGGTGCTTTGACAGCACACCGCCCGATGTTGTCTGTGTGGTGATCGATGGAGCACTTGATGGGTTTGACCCGATCTTCCGAGTCGTTGCTGGCTGATCCTCGGGCCGGCGCTTCGACCGGCCATTGATGGAGTTGGGGTCCGACCAGGCCTCCTGGAGCCGCTTGGCCGGTCCAGGATGGTCCAGGACGGCCCCAAGAGCCTTCAGAGGGTCCAGAGATGCCTCCAGGGCACCCCGAGGCGACCCAGCAGTGCCCCAAGACGACCGAGGATGGCCCCACGACGGCCCAGGGGCCGCCGAAGACGACCCAACGGCGCCCGAAACGCATTCCCATGTGGGCCCAGACATGCAAATACCTTTTGTTGGTCCTTTCGAGGCTTTGTGAGACCTTCGCAGACTCCCAGTGCGGCCTTCGGAGTGTCCCAGGCAGTCTCTAAAGCACCCAAGATAGCCTACAGACGGCCCACAAGGACCCCACGAGAACTCCAAGATGGGCCCAAGACGGCCACAGGTGGCCTCGAGCGGCACCCTGGGAGGCCTCCCCAGCTTCCAAGACCGGGGAGACGTAAGACTCGAGTAAGCCGGAACTCGGGTTTGCCGACTTTTTTTGACGAGCGCGTCCTGGATTTTGACGGTCAGGTTTTCGCGGGATGTTTTCAGCAGGAGGTCGCGTCAAATTTTAGACTGGGCCTCGTCATTTTTATGATGGCCTCGTCAGGCCAAACCGAGTCCCCCGTACCCGAGTCTTACGTCTCCCCGACAAGACGGCCCAAGTGCTCCCTCAGATGCCCGATGCCCCCAAAGGGCCTCCAAGACGGAAGCAGCGCTCCCCGAGATGTCCGCAGGGCTGCCAGATGGGCCCAACGCGGCCCAGAAGCCGCATAGAGGAGGAGGAGCAGGAGGCGGGGAAGGAGGAGGAGGAGGTGGAGGAGGAGGAGGAGGAGGACGAGGACGAGGAGAAGGAGGAGGCGGAGGAGGAGGACGCCCAGAAATCATTTTCAACGGACCTTAAGCAGGCGCAACTTGTTGTCTGCTCTCGAGTCCTTTGTAGGACTTTCTGCATACTCGCCTGTCCGGCCTGCAGAGTGCCCCAGAGGGCCCTCCAGATAGCTCGGGGTTTCCTTATTTCGCCTATTCTGCCTCAAGCGGCGCCTTGGACGGTCTCCCCAGCCTCCAAGACGGCACAGGTGCTCCTTCGGATATTCCCCTAAAGGGGTTCGAGACGGCCGTGGTGTTCTTCAAGGTGCCAGCAGGGCCTCCAGATGGGCCCGCAAGACGTCCCAAGGGCACCCGACAACAAATATGTCCAACATGTCCCGACACGCATTCCGCAGCCATTTTGGCTAAAGCCGTTTGAGCCTCACATTTTCACATTTGATATTCAAAGACGTGTAAGCAGCAGTTTGAAGATTACAGGATGGAGCCTGATCTGCAAGAGACCGGCGTCTCTTTTCAGGAAGACTGGGTCATTCATCGCCACAAGGGCATCATCACCTGCACTTTTTTTGCTGCCGATTACGATCAACTTCGTTCTCGGTTGCGTTCCAAGTTGCTGGAAGTGGTGCGAGCCAATCCGTGGATGCTTGGGAGGTTCAAGACGTGCAAGACGCGCATGGATTGCCCGACGACTGTGCCGCAGAGCAGTGATGAAACGCTCCTTGACTCCTATGGACTGTGGTTGCCTGATGGAGATGCAGGTCGGGGAGACTCCCGCGTTTCCCGTTCGAGTCCTTACCCGGTTCTGAACAAGGCTGTCGTCGATCGGTTAGGCCCCCTGGACGTGGCAACAACCCTGAAGGCGTTCAAGAATAGGCGCCCCTTGTCTGAAAGCAGTCTTTTCCGCTTTACGATGCTGCGTGTCAAACCAGAGGAGTGTGCTGTTCTTTTCGGGATGTCTCACTACGTCGGCGATGCGCACACGTACTATAAGATCCTGAATATGTTAGGACCCGAGCAGAAGGTCGAGGCGATGGAGATTCGCCGTGTAATAGAAGGGAGAAGGTGCCAAGAAGACATATCAGCGTCGATCCGTAATGTTACAGGCAAGCAGGCCGACAGTTTCAATAGATGCATCCCTCTGCATTTGGTCAAATCAGTGTTGATGAGCGTCTTCAAGAATAAGGGGGGGCGCGCGGGTGAGACTGGCGTTTTTTTCGTGGACAATGAGAAGATCGCAGAGAGAAAACGTGCAGAGCTGCAGGGGATTGCCGAGACAAATGCGAGTGGAAAGCAAAGTATGGCCCAATTTGTTTCCACAAGCGATATCATAGCGTCTGATTTTGCTGTTGCTAGTGAAGCAGATGTTTTCACTTACGTAGTGAATTTCCGAAATCGTGTTTCCATCATGAAATCAGAGCCCGTTCCGCTCTGTGACGACTCGGATGCTGGTAACTATGTGGTGGGAATTCCGTACGACCGTCCTTCGTACATCAGTCCAGTGAGAATCCGCGAATCTCTCATACCCAGAAAAGACGCTCCTTTGATATGCAAGAGTTCTCCCGATAGTTTCCCGGGATTGTTTCGTGTGATTCAACTGTCGTGTGTCAGCAATTGGGCTAGCTTCCCATTACATTTAGATGGAGGAGATGCTAAGACGTTGTTGCATTTGCCGTGTCTGAATTTGAATATGTCTGCCAGCAATTACTTGAAGAATGCGTTCGAGCTTGCCTATGTTTTCAGAGCGACGCCTGATCGGTTAGGTTTCATGGTGGTCTCGAATAGTTGTGTGGCAGCAAAGTACGCGAAGGAATCGTCCATTCTCGGGTGCGGAGTATTGGAGGCAGGGGCGGTTTTCGACAATGCTGCGTATTGATGTAGCAACGCTGGTTGCTGCTCTTGAAATAATTCCGTTTTGTGCAGGGTTGCAGTGCACTGTCTAATTTCTTCAACCAGCACGAGCATGTGCGGCCTTATCTTGCATACCGTCCTCAAGTTCTTTTTCAAGTTTTTGGTCGTTGCGGGAATCGATCGCCCTGCATGTTCAGTTGTCGCCCTTGTTTCAGTCGTGCCTTGCGGCCGCCCCCCCCCACATGTGCGTCCATCGCGCAGCGAGCATCCCCTTACATGTGTAAGAGCCCCTCCCATCGTACACGCATATTGTATAAGAAGGGACATATGTAGGGAAACAAGGCGATCCAAGGGAGGGGTAAGGGGAGGGGTAAACCCCTCCCCGTAGGGAAAGAGGGTTTTTCTGGAAGAGGGAAGAGGAATCCCGTTGGATCACCTGTGCCCAGAGGGCTGGCGTGATATGTTGCGTGTGCTTGGGTGGCGCAAGGAATAAGAGTTTGTTTCGCCATGGCTGCGACGTCATTCTCCGCGACTGTTTGTGTTGCGTTGCGTTTTCGTCGACATGTGATTCGGAAGAGCGTGAGATGCTGCATGTCTGGCCTAACCATATGTTGTGTGTTGGCATGTTTACTCATGTGTTCGCACGATTCACGGTGATATGTGTTTTGCATATTTGCTGGAGGAGTCCCCGCTTGTCCGTTGCCTGAGATATCCTTCACAGACATGGACTTCACATTGCCGTTCAGCTTGTGTTGCCAGTCCGTCTTGGAATAAGAGAAACATGTGTCGCGCGTGATTCTCTCCATGTCGTAGAGGTCAGCGCGCTTCCCAACGTTTCGCGGAAAAAAAGAAAATATGTCCCGACATGCATTATCGGGTGATGATGATGGTGACGAGGCTGCTGCCGTTGTTAGTATATTTGACGATGACGATGTCGGTGCATAATCTGCTGTGGTGTGATATAGGTGGTGCAATCTGTTTGATGCAGAATACATACACACTTTACACATATGAATATATACACATATATCTTAAGGGCTTCGCCCTCTGCCGTCGGCCCCCTATTACTAGTGCGTGCGGCTGCGTGGATAGCGCCGCGGGTGCTTCTCGAGGCAGGCTTCTCGGCAGCGTCTGCGGGTCATTGTTGGAGCTTCTTGGAAGCCGTTTTGGAGTCTCTTGGGGCATATTTGGGATCTCTTGGGGGTCTCCTTGGGGCCTCTTGGGGGCCTCTTGGGGCCTCTCGGGACCTCCTTGGGGCCTCCTGGGGCCCTCTCTGGGCGGAAAGGTAGTGTTTTCGGTTCGTGGACTCCCTCTTGGGCCTCTCTTGGGGCCGTCTTAGGGCCCTTTTGGGGCCGTCTGGGGCGCCTCTTGGACCGTCTTGGGGACCTCTTCGGTCGTCTTGGGGTCGTCTTGGGAGCGTCTAGGGCCGTCGTGGGGCGATCTTGGGGACCTCTTAGTCCGTCTTGGAGCGTCGGAAAGCCTAAAAGGCGAGAATGCCAAAAACCTTCACACACGTCAGAGAACAATCGTTGATTTTTGCTTCGTAGGGAGGCCTCTTGGAGGCCTTTTGGGCCGTCTTGGCAGCATCTTGGGCCGTCTTGGGACCATCGTGGGACATCTTGGGGCCATCTTGGGCCGTCTTGGGCTCCCGAGGCTTTCTTTGGAGCCTCTTCGGGCAATCTTGCAGGCCTCTCGGGCCGTTCTGGCCGCGCGGCCGCGTCACCATCCTGGGTTGGCCCAGAGTAGCCTGTATTGAGGTTCACCCCCCCCGATGGCTCTTTGGTGACGCAGCGGGGCCTCTTACCAGATAGTAAATAGGAGGCAGGAAACAGGACTGGAGAGACAAAATGCCAAACAGCAAATGACAACACATAACGCATGACAGCAGACCGCACACACCTTCGCAGCCTTGCGCCCCCGGAGGGGGCCGGTGGATACATATATATATATATATATATATATATATATATATATATATCCGTATATACACATATATATAGCTATATATATAAGGCCGCGTTAAATCATAATCACATGTAAATTGCAATACGAAAAGGTGACCCGTTAACTCTGGGGTGGGTGGGGGGTGGAGTCATTTTGATTGTCTTGAAGCTGTCTTATCCACTGCTCGTGCAAACACCCCAGCCTCCCACCCGCAACTTGGTCGCAAGACCTCTTAAGACCGTGACGGTGGGTACCAAATGGCACTTGGCAGCGACAGGGACGCCGACGACGACAGCGACAACGACGACGACGCCGACGACGACTACGACGACACCGACGACGTCTCCGACGACTTCGACGACGACGACAACGACGACGACGACGACGACGGCGACACCGACGACGACGACGACGCCGACGCCGGCGTTGTCGTCGTCGTCGTCGAAGTCGTCGTCGATGGAGCATTTGATGGGTTTGACCCGACCCTCCGCGTCGTTGCTGGCTGATCCTCGGGCCAGCGCTTCGACCGGCCATTGATGGAGTTGGGGTCCGACCGGGCCTCCTGGAGCCGCCTGGCCGGTCCAGGACGGTCCAGGACGGCCCCAAGAGCCTTCAGAGGGTCCAGAGATGCCTCCAGGGCACCCCGAGGCGACCCAGCAGTGCCCCAAGTCGACCGAGGACGGCCCTACGACGGCCCAGGGGCCGCCCAAGACGACCCAACGGCGCCCGAAACGCAAATACTTGTTTTTGGTCCTTTCGAGGCTTTGTGAGACCTTCGCAGACTCCCAGTGCGGCCTTCGGAGTGTCCCAGGCAGTCTCTAAAGCACCCAAGATAGCCTACAGACGGCCCACAAGGACCCCACGAGAACTCCAAGATGGGCCCAAGACGGCCACAGGTGGCCTCGAGCGGCACCCTGGGAGGCCTCCCCAGCTTCCAAGACCGGGGAGACGTAAGACTCGAGTAAGCCGGAACTCGGGTTTGCCGACTTTTTTTGACGAGCGCGTCCTGGATTTTGACGGTCAGGTTTTCGCGGGATGTTTTCAGCAGGAGGTCGCGTCAAATTTTAGACTGGGCCTCGTCATTTTTATGATGGCCCCGTCAGGCCAAACCGAGTCCCCCGTACCCGAGTCTTACGTCTCCCCGACAAGACGGCCCAAGTGCTCCCTCAGATGCCCGATGCCCCCAAAGGGCCTCCAAGACGGAAGCAGCGCTCCCCGAGATGTCCGCAGGGCTGCCAGATGGGCCCAACGCGGCCCAGAAGCCGCACAGAGGAGGAGGAGCAGGAGGCGGGGAAGGAGGAGGAGGAGGTGGAGGAGGAGTAGGAGGAGGACGAGGACGAGGAGAAGGAGGAGGCGGAGGAGGAGGACGCCCAGAAATCATTTTCAACGGACCTTAACCAGGCGCAGCTTGTTGTCTGCTCTCGAGTCCTTTGCAGGACTCTCTGCATGCTCGCCTGTTCGGCCTGGAGAGTGCCCCGGAGGGCCCTCCAGATAGCTCGGGGTTTCCTTATTTCGCCTATTCTGCCTCAAGCGGCGCCCTGGACGGTCTCCCCAGCCTCCAAGACGGCACAGGTGCTCCTTCGGATATTCCCCTAAAGGGGTTCAAGACGGCCGTAGTGTTCTTCGAGATGCCAGCAGGGCCTCCAGATGGGCCCACAAGACGTCCCAAGGGCACCCGACAACAAACATGTCCAACATGTCCCGACACGCATTCCGCAGCCATTTTGGCGAAAGCCGTTTGAGCCTCACATTTTCACATTTGATATTCAAAGACGTGTAAGCAGCAGTTTGAAGATTACAGGATGGAGCCTGATCTGCAAGAAACCGGCGTCTCTTTTCAGGAAGACTGGGTCATTCATCGCCACAAGGGCATCATCACCTGCACTTTTTTTGCTGCCGATTACGACCAACTTCGTTCTCGGTTGCGTTCCAAGTTGCTGGAAGTGGTGCGAGCCAATCCGTGGATGCTTGGGAGGTTCAAGACGTGCAAGACGCGCATGGATTGCCCGACGACTGTGCCGCAGAGCAGTGATGAAACGCTCCTTGACTCCTATGGACTGTGGTTGCCTGATGGAGATGCAGGTCGGGGAGACTCCCGCGTTTCCCGTTCGAGTCCTTACCCGGTTCTGAACAAGGCTGTCGTCGATCGGTTAGGCCCCCTGGACGTGGCAACGACCCTGAAGGCGTTCAAGAATAGGCGCCCCTTGTCTGAAAGCAGTCTTTTCCGCTGTACGATGCTGCGTGTCAAACCAGAGGAGTGTGCTGTTCTTTTCGGGATGTCTCACTACGTCGGCGATGCGCACACGTACTATAAGATCCTGAACATGTTAGGACCCGAACAGAAGGTCGAGGCGATGGAGATTCGCCGTGTAATAGAAGGGAGAAGGTGCCAAGAAGACATATCAGCGTCGATCCGTAATGTTACAGGCAAGCAGGCCGACAGTTTCAATAGATGCGTCCCTCTGCATTTGGTCAAATCAGTGTTGATGAGCGTCTTCAAGAATAAGGGGGGGCGCGCGGGTGAGACTGGCGTTTTTTTCGTGGACAATGAGAAGATCGCAGAGAGAAAACGTGCAGAGCTGCAGGGGATTGCCGAGACAAATGCGAGTGGAAAGCAAAGTATGGCCCAATTTGTTTCCACAAGCGATATCATAGCGTCTGATTTTGCTGTTGCTAGTGAAGCAGATGTTTTCACTTACGTAGTGAATTTCCGAAATCGTGTTTCCGTCATGAAATCAGAGCCCGTTCCGCTCTGTGACGACTCGGATGCTGGTAACTATGTGGTGGGCATTCCGTACGACCGTCCTTCGTACATCAGTCCAGTGAGAATCCGCGAATCTCTCATACCCAGAAAAGACGCTCCTTTGATATGCAAGAGTTCCCCCGATAGTTTCCCGGGATTGTTTCGTGTGATTCAATTGTCGTGTGTCAGCAATTGGGCTAGTTTCCCATTGCACTTAGATGGAGGAGATGCTAAGACGTTGTTGCATTTGCCGTGTCTGAATTTGAATATGTCTGCCAGCAATTACTTGAAGAATGCGTTCGAGCTTGCCTATGTCTTCAGAGCGACGCCTGATCGGTTAGGTTTCATGGTGGTCTCGAATAGTTCTGTGGCAGCAAAGTACGCGAAGGAATCGTCCATTCTCGGGTGCGGAGTATTGGAGGCAGGGGCGGTTTTCGACAATGCTGCGTATTGATGTAGCAACGCTGGTTGCTGCTCTTGAAGTAATTCCGTTTTGTGCAGAGCTGCAGTGCATTGTCTAATTTCTTCAACCAGCACGAGCATGTGCGGCCTTATCTTGCATACCATACCGTCCTCGAGTTCTTTTTCAAGTTTTTGGTCGTTGCGGGAATCGATCGCCCTGCGTGTTCAGTTGTCGCCCTTGTTTCAGTCGTGCCTTGCGGCCGCCCCCCCCACGTGTGCGTCCATCGCGCAGCGAGCATCCCCTTACATGTGTAAGAGCCCTCCCATCGTACACGCATATTGTACAAGAAGGGACATATTTAGGGAAACAAGGCGATCCAGGGGAGGGGTAAGGGGAGGGGTAAACCCCTCCCAATAGTGTAAGAGGTTTTTTTTCTGGAAGAGGGAAGAGGAATCCCGTTGGATCACCTGTGCCCAGAGGGCTGGCGGGATTTGTTGCGTGTGCTTGGGTGGCGCAAGGAATAAGAGTTTGTTTCGCAATGGCTGCGACGTCATTCTCCACGACTGTTTGTGTTGCGTTGCGTTTTCGTCGACATGTGATCCGGAAGCGCGTGAGATGCTGCATGCCTGGCCCAACCATATGTTGTGTGTTGGCATGTTTACTTATGTGCTCGCACGATTCACGGTGATATGTGTTTTGCATATTTGCTGGAGGAGTCTCCGCCTGTCCGTTGCCTGAGATGTCCTTCACAAACATGGACTTCACATTGCCGTTCAGCTTGTGTTGCCAGTCCGTCTTGGAATAAGAGAAACATCTGTCGCGCGTGATTCTCTCCATGTCGTAGAGGTCAGCGCGCTTCCCAGCGTTTCGCGGAACAAAAAGAAACTATGTCCGACATGCATTATCGGGTGATGATGATGGTGACGAGGCTGCTGCCGTTGTTTGTATATCTGACGATGACGATGTCGGTGCAGAATATGCTGTGGTGTGATATAGGTGGTGCAATCTATCTGATGCAGGATAAATTCACACTTTACACATATGAATACATACACATATATCTCAAGGGCTTCGCCCTCTGCCGTCGGCCCCCCTATTACTAGTGCGTGCGGCTGCGTGGATAGCACCGCGGGTGCTTCTCGAGGCAGGCTTCTTGGCAGCGTCTGTGGGTCATTGTTGGAGCTTCTTGGAAGCCGTTTGGAGTCTCTAGGGGCATGTTTGGGATCTCTTTGGGGGTCTCCTTGGGGCCTTTTGGGGGCCTCTTGGGGGCCTCTTGGGGCCTCTCGGGACATCCTTGGGGCCTCCTGGGGCCTTCTCTGGGCGGACAGGTCGAGTTTTCGGTTCGTGGACTCCCTCTTGGGCCTCTCTTGGGGCCGTCTTAGGGCCCTTTTGGGGCTGTCTGGGGCGCCTCTTGGACCGTCTTGGGGACCTCTTCGGTCGTCTTGGCGTTCTTGTATGCTTGTTTTGGAAACTCGATTGCGAAATCTTTCGGGCACCGACGGTTTTTGAAGGATTTCGGCGTGCGCGCGCGACGACGCGCGCGTTCGCACTTCATCCCAATTTTGCAAGGGATTCGCGAAACAGTGTTATGTTAGAACAAAACATGTCCCCGCGTATTGTTTTTTACGGGGGAACCTCATGGGGGAACAATACCAGTTTCCCTGGCATAGTGTAAATTCATATTTAGGATGGGCATGTGGTCAGAATCATGTATGATTTACATACCCGAAAGGGGAACGGATAACGCCGGGGGGTAGAGTTTTTCTTCTCTTTTTAGAAAGGATAATGTATATGGTGCAGTTAATTTCTGTTCGCAGTGAGTTGTCCACTCCACTGCTCGCGCAAACATCCCACCCACCCACCCGCAACTTGGTTTGCACAATCTCTTAAGACCGTGACGGTGGGTACCAAATGGCACTTGGCAACGACAGGGACGCCGACGACGACAGCGACAACAACGACGACGACGCCGCCGACAACGACTACGACGACACCGACGACGTCTCCAGCGACGTCGACGACGCCGACAACGACGACGACGACGACACCGACGACGACGACGCCGATGCCGACGACGACGACGACGATGACAACGACGACGGCGATGACGACGCCGACGACGACAACAACGACGACACCGACGACGACGACGACGTCAACGACGCCGACGACGACGATGACGACGACGGCGGCGACGACGACGACGCCGACGTCGACGACGACGACGAACACGACGACGTCGCCAACGAAGACGACGACGAGGGAGGAGGGAGGAGGGAGGACGACGACAGCGACAACGACGACAACGACGACAACGACGAGGGAGGAGGGAGGACGGCGACGACGTGAACAACGAAGAAGGAGGAAGGACAGCGACGCCGACGACAACGACGACGGAGGAGGGAAGACGACGACGACGACGACGACGACGGCGACGAAATAGGAGGGACGACGACGAGACGCCGACGACGGACGACGACGACGACGAGGGAGGAGGAGGAAGGACGACCACGGCGACAACGACGACGGAAACGACCACGACGCCAAAGAGGACGACGACGACGAACACGAGGAAAGACAGAGGACGACGTAGGCGACGACGACGACGACGCGGGAGGAGGGAGGACGGCGACGACGACGACGACGACGACGCAAGAGCGCGCGCGCACGCTTTTGTTGAAAATCCGTGTTGCGAAACCTTGTGTTTTTGTAGGTTTTTTGGACACACGATTTTGAAATCCTTCCGAAACCCATGGGTTTTGAAGGATTTCGGCATACGCGCGCGACGACGCGCGCGTCTGCACTTCGTCCAATTTTTTTGCAGAGGATTCTCGCGACGGCTCACGCGCAAGGGCGTTCGACAGATTTCGACGCGACAGATTTCGACATGCGCGCGCGCGAAGCCCGTTCGGTAGCATTTTGTGAAAATCTGCAACAACCTTTTGGTTTTCTCAAGATTTCGCAAGAGCTCGCGCGTAAGCTTTTTTAGCAAATCAGTGTTGCGAAATCCTGTGTTTTTGTATGTTTTTTGGAAACTCGATTGCGAAATCCTTCCGGCACCGAAGGTTTTTGCAGGATTTCGGCATGCGCGCGCGACGACGCGCGCGTGTGCACTCCGTCTTTTTTTTGCGAGGGATTCGTGAAAAAGTCTTATGTTAGAGCAAAAATGTCCCCGCGTATCGTTTTTATAAGGGAACCTCAGGGGGAGCGATACCGGCCCCCTGGGATAGTGTAAATTCATATTTAGGATGGACACGTGGTCATACTCATACATGATTTACATACCCGAAGGGGGGCGGATAACGCCGGGGGGGGGGGGGTAGAGTCGATTCTCTTTTTAGGACGGAGAATCGATGGTGTGCAACTTATGGTGTGCAATCTGTGCTGTGGGCTCTATGTTTATGTTGCCCGATCTATGTGGCGCAATTCATGTGAAGCAATGAGTGTGGCGCAATCCATGTTGTGCAGTTTATGTGTTGCAGTATCTGTTGTGCAATCTATGTGGAGCAAGCTTCGTGGTGCAATCTATGTGGTGCAACACTTGTGGTGCAATCCATGTGGAGCGATCGATGTGGTGCAATCCAGGTTGTCCCATGTAAATTGTGCACTATCTGTGGTGCGATTTCTGAGATACGATGTATGTTGTGCAATATCCCTGGCGCAATCTATATGGTGCAATTTATGTCGTGCAGTATCTGTTGTGCAATGTATGTAGTGGAATCTATGTGGCGCAATATGGGTGGTGCGATTTTGGTGGTACAACCACAAGGTGGTGTAAACTAGTATGTGCCAGATCTGTGGTGCGCAGCCTATGTGGTTCAATCTGACGCGGTAGAATCGATGCTGCGCAGTCCATGTTGTCCAGCAGCTGTTGTGAAATCTACGTGGCGCGGCGACGGGGCGGCGAGGGCGGCAACGAGCGCGGGGACCGCCGCACGGGCCCGAGGCGGCAGGCGCGGCGACCGACGGACAGGCCCAGACGACGGGCGGCGACGAGGCGGCGACGGGCCGGCCGCAGGGAGCCGTCGGACCGAAGACACGGCCGAGGCGACGGGCGGCGACGAGGCGGCAGCGGCGGCCACGCAGCCGCCAGACCGACGACACGGCGCAGTGCCGTAGAACAGATGTTAAGAACCCCTGAGTGCTGGCACTGTTTGGGGACAGGTTGTAGCGACGACGATGGCGATGATGATGATGATGATGCTTACGATGATGATGATGCTGATGATGCTGATGATGCTTACGATGATGATGCTGATGATGCTGATGCTGATGATGCTGATGATGCTGATGATGATGCTGATGATGATGACGATGCTGATGCTGATGCTGATGATGATGATGATGATGATGATGACAATGCTCATGATGATGCTGATGATGATGATGACGACCCTGATGCCGATGATGATGCTGATGATGGTGTTGGCGATCATTATGCCGATGCTAATGCTGCCGATGATGCTGATGATGCTGAGGAGGAGGATTATGCTGATGCTGATGATTCTGAGGATGATGATGACGATGCTGATGATGATGCTGATGATGCTGATGATGATGCTGATGATGCTGATGATGCTGATGATGATGCTGATGATGATGGCGGTGATGCTGCTGCTGCTACTGGTGGTGGTGGTGCGGTGATACTGATGATGATGATGATGATGATGATGATGATGATGATGATGATGATGGTGATGGTGATGGTGATGGTGATGGTAATGGTGATGATGATAATGATGATGATGATGATGATGATGATGATGATGATGATGATGATGATGATGATGATGATGATGATGATGATGATGATGATGATGATGATGATGATGATGATGATGGTGATGATGATGATGATGACATGGGGGACGATGATGAGGATGACAGGGAGGGTGAGGACGCACCCGATAACGAGGATGGTGTGGATATTGAGGAGGAGTAGGAGGAGGAGGACATGGAGTAGGAGTAGCAGGAGTAGGAGGAGTAACAGGAGGAGGAGCAGGAGGAGGAGGAAGAGCAGGAGGAGGAGGAGGAGGAGGAGGAGGAGGAGGAGGAGGGCGAGGACGAATGGGCGGAAGATGAAGAGGACGAAGAGAGGAAGAGTGAGGATGAGGAGGAGGATGAGAGAAGGAAGAGGAGGAGGAGGAGGAGGAGGAGGAGGAGGAGGAGGAGGAGGAGGAGGAGGAGGAGGAGGAGGAGGAGGAGGAGGAGGAGAGGAGAGGAGGAGGAGAGGAGGAGGAGGAGGAGGAGGAGGGAGGAGGAGGAGGAGGAGGAGGAGGAGGAGAGGAGGAGGCGAGGACGAGGCCGACCCCCCGAGGACGAGGACGAGGACGAGGCCGACAAGCCGCCGCCGCGGCGGCGGCCCGCACCAAGGCGCCGCACCAGCAGGATCACGACGCCGCGCCGCCCTCGTCGCCCGGGAGCTTCGTGGGGTGCAACTGGTGCAACCGCCTGGCGGGGGTGGGGGCTCGGGCTCTCCTGCTGCGCCAAGATCGATTGGTCGATGGATTGGTCGATCCTCGGTTTCTCGATTGGTCGATCGATTGGTCGATCGTCGATGTTTTTTTCGTTGTTGTTATTGTTTTGTTTCGTGTTTCTTTGTTGTGCCCCACCTGTTTGTCTCGTATTCCCCCGAAGCGCTGCCTGCATTTTGTCCCTTACCTGTCGCCCAAAGGTATCCGTCGGGCCTGGCGAGGACTTTCCATGACGCCGCCCTTTCCCGCCTCGTGTGCTGTGGGGGTCAGGCGAGGCTTCGCCACGTCGCCGCCCGCGGCCACCCGGTTGCCGCCTCGTGAGAAGGCTGGCTCTGGCGAGGCTTCGACATGTTGCGGCCCGCTGCCGCCTCGTTTGCGCCTCGTTGCCGCCTCGTGCGCTGGGTGCGTCCGGCGAGGCTTCGCCATGTCGCCGCCCGTGGCCGCCTCGTTGCCGCCTCGTGCGCTGCGTGGGTCCAGCGATGCTTCGCCACGTTGCCGTCCGTTGCCGCCTCGTTGCCGCCTCGTTCGCTGGGTGGGTCTGACGAGGTTTCGCTACGCTGCCGCCCTTTGCTCCCGCGTGGCCGCCTCGTTGCGCCGCCTCGGGCGCAGGTTGGGTCTGGCGAAGTTTCGCCACGTTGCCGCCCGCGGTCGCCTCTTTGCCGCCTCGAGCGTTGGGTGGGTTCCGCGAGGTTTCGCCACGTTGCCGCCCGTTGCCGCCTCGTTGCCGCTTCGTGCGGTGTGTGGGTCCAGCGAGGCTTCGCCACGTTGCCGCCCCGCCTCTTTGCCGCCTCGGGCGCAGGGTCACGTTGCCGCTCGTTGCCGCCTCTTTGCCGCCTCGTGCGCTGGGTGGATCCCGCGAGGCTTCGCCACGTTGCCGCCAGTTGCCGCCTCGTTGCCGCCTCGTGCGGTGGGTGGGTCAGGCACATTGCAACAATTTACTGTCTTGGATCAACACTGGCTAACGTTTCGTTGTTGTTGTTACTGCTGTCGCTGGCGTTGGCGTTGGCGTTGTCGTTGTCGTCGCTGTCGTTGTTGTTGTTGTTGTTGCTGTTGCTGTTGCTGTTGCTGTTGCTGTTGCTGTTGTTGTTGTTGTTGTTGTTGTTGTTGTTGTTGTTGTTGTTGTTGTTGTTGTTGTTGTTGTTGTTATTGAAGAACTCTCATTTCCGAATAATTATAGTTGATCCCCCCGCCCGGTGCACATGTTTTTTTTTGTTCGATCGAAGTGCCCCTTCTGGGGCTCGCACCCGGTTTTTTATTAGGGAAAGTCTTCACGGTCAAACTTTGTCGTTGGCCCCGGGTTTACAACAACAACGGCTCCCGCCTGATATTTCATCACAATTTATTGAAGAATCGCGCTCTCGCTTGGGACTTCCTGGCAATTTGCCACCGAATCGCGGCTCCCGCCTGATATTTCCTGAGAATTTATTGCAGAACCGCGTTCTCGTTTGGATTTCTTCGCAACTTACCACCGAACCGCTTCGCTTGATATTTCCTCACAATTTATTCAGATGCCGGTCCTCGACACTCAGGAATCGCGCTCCCGATATATATATATATATATATATATATATAATATATATATATGTATATATATATATATATATATATATATATTTCTTGACGGTTCAAGCAGGACTCACGCTTCAACGACCCGCCAGCTCGACCCGCCTGTCGGGGCCTGCCCGCCCGACCAGCCCGTTAATGACTGCAGTCGCCGCTCGCTGCCCTTCGCCCGCCTTTGATGCCCCTCGCTGCCCGTACTGGTTCGGCGGTCGCCTTCGCTCGCTGCCCTTCGTGGCCCCGTTGCTGCCCTCAGTGGCCCTGTCGCTGCCCTTTGTGGCCCTGCATTATAAGCCCTTCGTGGCCCCCGCTCGCACGCGGCCGTCGTGGCCCCATACGCATGCCCTTCGCAGCCCCGCTGTCGCCCTTCGTAGCCCCTTTGCTGCCCTCAGTGGCCCCGTCCTTGCCCTCCGCGGCCCAATATACGTAGTCCCTTCGTGGCCCCCGCTCGTTCGCGCCCGTCGTGGCCCCATGTGCATGCCCTTCGTGGCCCCGGTGTCGCCCTTTGTGGCCCCCTCGCTGCCCTTCGTGGCCCCGGTGCTGCCCCCAGGCTCCGTCGTTGCCTTCTGTGGCCTCGGATTTTATGCCTTTCATGGCCCTCGCTGACTTTTCTCACGATTTACCTGGGAACCGCGCTATCGCTCGAGATTTCCTCGCGATTCATGCAGGACCCACGCTTCAGCAACCCGTCTGCTCGACCTCGTCGCCTGGGCCCGCCTTCCCGACCTGCCCGCTATGGATCTGCCCATCCGATCTGCCCGTCTGGTTCTACCACTTGTTTTCTGTTTCTTGCCCCCCTCTCCTGCCAATTTCTCTCGTGCTCCATTCTTCTCCCTCCCCCTTCCACCCGTCCTCTCTTCCATTGTTTTAGGGGCTGCACTAAATACACGTGGCAGGTAAGGAAGATATACCCCCAAGGGGGTACGATCGAAGACGACGAGGGCGGGTACCGAGGGTTTGGGATATACGTATTGATTGTCACGTGATCAGATAGGAGCGAACAGTCTTATAATGATTGTTGTTGTTGTTGTTGTTGTTGTTGTTGTTGTTGTTGTTGTTGTTGTTGTTGTTGTTGTTGTCGTTGTCGTTGTCGTTGTCGTTGTGGTTGTCGTTGTTGTTGTTGTTGTTGTTGTTGTTGTTGTTGTTGTTGTTGTTGTGGTGGTGGTGGTGGTTGTTGTTGTTGTTGTTGTTATTGAAGAAGAAGAACTCTCATTTCTGAATAATTATTGTTGATCTCCCCCGCCCGGTGCACATGTATTTTTCAATCGAAGTGCCCCTCCCGGGGCTCGCACCCGGTTTTTTTATTAGGGAAAGTCTTGAGGCTCAAATTGTGTTGTTGGCCCAACAACGGCTCCCGCCTGATAGTTCCTTACAATTTATTGAAAAATCGCGCTTCCTCCAGAGACTTCCTCGCATTTTATTCAGGAATCGCGCATGGGACTTCCTTACAATTTATTCAGGAATCGCTCTCTCGGCGCTCTGGAGTCGCGCTCTCGCTGTCAATGTACTGAAGAATAGCGCCCTTGCGTTGGATTTTACCGTAATGTACTCAAGCGCCGCGCTCCCGACACTCAGGCACCCAGGAGTCGCGCTCACGCTTACGACTCCCTCACAGATTACTTAGGAATCGGGATCTCGCTGCCCTTCGTGGCCCCGTTGCAGCCCTTCGCGGCCTCCTCGCTGCCCTTCGTGGACCCGTTGCAGCCCTTCGTGGCCTCCTCTCTGCCCTTCGTGGCCCCGTTGCAGCCCTTCGTGGCCCCCTCGCTGCCCTTCGTGGCCCCGTTGCAGCCCTTCGTGGCCCCCTCGCTTTGTTTCGTGGCGTGGCCCCCTCGCTGCCCTTCGTGGCCCCCTCGCAGCCCTTCGTGGCCCACTCGCTGCCGTTCGTGACCCCGTTGCACCCCTTCGTGTCCCCCTCACTGCCCTTCGTGGCCCCGCTGTCGCCCTCAGTGGCCCCCTCGCTGCCCAACGTGGACCCGTTGCAGCCCCTTATGACCCCCTCGCTGCCCTTCGTGGCCCCGTTGCAGCCCTTCGTGGTCCCCTCGTTGCCCTTCGTGGCCCCGTTGCAGCCCTTCGTGGCCCCCGCGCTGCCCCTCGTGGCCCCATATATGTAAGCCCTTCGTGGCCCCCGCTCGTTCGCGCCCGTCGTGGCCCCATATGCATGCCTCTCGTGGCCCCGCTGTCGCCCTCAGTGGCCCCCTCGCTGTCCTTCGTGGCCCCGATGCTGCCCTCAGTGGCCCCGTCCTTGCCCTCCGCGGCCCAATATACGTAGTCCCTTCGTGGCCCCCGCTCGTTCGCGCCCGTCGTGGCCCCATGTGCATGCCCTTCGTGGCCCCGGTGTCGACCTTTGTGGCCCCCTCGCTGTCCTACGTGGCCCAGATGCTACCCGCTCGTTCGCGCTCTTCGTGTCCCCATACGCATTCCCTTCGTGTCCCCGTTATCGCCCTTCGTGGCCTACTTCGTGCCCTTCGTGGCCCTGCTGTCGTTTTCTCTCTCGCTCTCGCTTTCGCTCGTCGTCGTCGTCGTCGTCGTGGTCGGTCCCCTGTCCGTCCCTCTTGGGTTCGGGTTGCCAGATCAGCGCTGCCGCTGGCCAGGCCGATGGTCCGCGGCCGCCCCGCCGCTTTCCGGGGCCCAGCCTGCAGGGAAGAAAGATATACCCCCCAAAAGGGGTACGATCGAAGACGAAGAGGGCGGCATCGAGGGTTTGGGGAATACGCGTTAACGGACACTCGAGCCGATGAATGCGAACAGTCTTAAACTGATTGCTGTTGTTGTTCTTGTTGTTGGATTATCACTAGTGAAGAATAACTATGGTTGATCCCCCTCGGGTGACCACTGTGTTTTTCAATTGAAGTGCACCCCCCAGGTCTCGCACTTTTTCGTTTTTTGTTATATATATATATATATATATATATATATATATATATATATATATATTAATCATAACAAAAAGGAGAGCCACTCTGCTCAAACTGGGTTGTTGGCCCCCCGATTACAACAACAACGGCTCCCGCCTGAGACTTCTTCACAATTGTTGACGCTTCGCGAATCCCCACCAGCCCATCCAGAAACGATGGGCAGAGGAATTGCCTCGATCAGGGAAGTGGGCAGCACACAGAGGAAGCCATTATGAGACATCTTGGGATACCTTGAGCCATCTTGGATGTCATTTAGGGCTCGCCCAGGCGCTCTTGGAGTCATCCTAATCAATGCCCCCTCCAAGAGGCCAACATGTGGCTAAAACCTTCGTAGGATCAATGACTTGGCATTCTCGCCGAGGCCTCTTGGAGCATCCTGGGTGCCTCTGGGGGGTCTCTTGGGGCCTCTTGGGGGTCTCTTGGGAGCCTCTAGGGGGCATCCTTGGGGCCTCTTGGGGCTTCCTGGCCACCTCTTGAGGCCCTCTTGGGGCACCTTCGGGAGCCTTGGGGGCCACCT